CGAGGGAGATTCTGATACCTACAGTATGTTCGAATGTTTTATTTTAGTTAGCACAAGGACAGGAAAGTGCTTATAGTAGAAACCACGGCTGAAAAGCGTTGAATGAAGTTAGCCCAGAAGCGACCATCGAAGGCTCGGCAGCGGTGCTCAAAGACAAAATGAACTTGATGGCATTCGGCTTTGTAATCAGGCTAGATCCGTGAAGGTTATTGCCTGTGACTGCAAATCTCGTGCAACCTCAGCCGAAATTCTGAACCGTGCTCTCGATAAGAGGGGGAAATTTAAGCGAGACTGTAATATGGATAATCATTCGGCCTAATTCTACAATATTTCAGTCATGCCAGAATTTTTAAGCAGTACGAATTTGTTCATATTATTTCAGTGTTCTCATGGAATTCAAGTCTATTCCACAGAAAAATATATACATAAATAACCTGTTTTATTTTTATTTGGTAGCATATCATGCATTCTTCGTATTTTATACTCTCAGGTAGGATATTATTCGGTTTTAAAAAATGCAGTTTTGAACATTTTAGATCTCGGGTAGTTCAGTAAAACAACTTCACATCTGTCGATTTTTAACTGCTCCTCGTGAAGTCTGCAGCATGCTTCATCCAGTTTACATTGTTTTATGGTCACCAGATGTTTTCAGGTTAATGACATAGAGGACTACGTAACGTTCCTTATATGCAAAGTATACAACGTCAGGTTTGAATCCTGAATGCAAATATAACCGTATTTCGTGTTCGAAAGTATTCAAGGATTTAAAAACGTTTAAAGGTGAAATGTTCTCCCTTCTTTAAATATACATAGGAGTATGACGGGCTATGTTAAAAAATAAATGAAAACAGGATATTTTGCATATATTTTCTATAGGATACTTCTGGATATAAAATAACATCAGAAATCGTTTGGAAAATCGATGCTGCTCACACGGCCATTCTGTTTTCATGAATTCGTGCTGCGTGTAAAAAGTAAAGCATGTCTTCTTGCTTCTGCAATAATTTAGTAGCACCAGATGCCCTTCTTTAGGCATAAAAGGTCGCTTTAAATCCATTACATAACTTTGGTTAACAAATCTTTGAAAAAGACCGAAACCTAGATCACGATTAAGCACAGACATGAATTTGTTATAACGACGGGTTCAGCGTCGCTAGTGTTATAACGATGACATC